TGAATAAGGCATTTGAACTCATTTGATGAAGGCTGATCCAAAGGACACCTTTTCTCCTGTGGAGCTGAAGACAAATAAATGTAATGCGAGTAGCTTTGAGAATATAGAACATGAGAGATGGATGAACTTGTGTTTTATTATGTAGTCCCAAAGCTTTCAAAAATACTATGTTTAGCAGTATCTACTAAATTGTAAGGGAGTTTAACTATAGACTGTATTACTGAAATAGAGAGAAAGATGCCACTAATTCTGTAGTATTGTTCTAAGAAGCACAAGTTTATCCTCCTCCTACTGGTGTTATGATCAGGTTTCAGAACAGTGTCTGTCGCAGTATGCCTGAGTTCTCTTCTAATTCCTCTACCTTGTCTTTCCCAGTGCCTCTTTCCTTGATATGTAACAGTTCAGATGTGGGTAGAAATATGTCACCTATACCTCTATACCTTTGACTGAATTATATTTCTGTATTGTTTATGAACTTGCTATGTGTTTGCAATCATTATTAATAAATCAATGTGCTTTTTGTCTGCTGTCACAAAGTAATGTGTGTATTCAAAAGGAATTGTATGCAAAACAAGTCATGTTTTAGAACTCGTATCATTAATAATTATCAGTTTGCAGTATTGTTACAACACGTTTTGAGGGAAGCTTATTATAAAAGAAATAACAAGGCACTGCACAGTAGCAAGACAGTTCAGTTGATCACTGGTATAGGTGTTATAAATATGCCAGTCTGTACTATAGTGTTTTATTAAGTCTCAAAAAGTCAAAGCTGATTTGAAATAATAATGTCTGACAGTCAGTGCTTTGAAGTTTTGCTGCTGCACTCTCACATTTAGACTTTCTTTTATGTATGACTTTACCATAAAAAAAATCAAAAATACACACAAGGCGTGGATGTTGTTGTTTTTTTTTTAATCTGTGTTTCAAAGAAAGTAATAGGAGCTACTTCAGTGAATTAAGAGGAGAAAAAAAAAGGAACAATCCTCCCAAATCGATAAGGATAGGTGCAGGCCACTATAAGGTCATACAGTATTCATATAAGCAATAGCTGGGGTTGGTAACTTGTTGAAGACTAAAGAAGTGAAATAAAAAAAAAAAAAAAAAAGAAAGAAAGAAAAAAGAAAGAAAAAAGGAGAATAAGGAAGAGACAAGAGGCAAAAGCTATCCTTGATAGGAACAAGATGACTTTCATTCAGTCGGAGGAACTTGAGAGCTTGGCTGTGATAGCTAACACACTCTTCTTCATCACCATTGTGCAACAAAGCTGGATTCCATCCATTCCATGACTGATTGATTACCCAATGGACAAATGTTAATTCTTTTCATCGATGCTTTGTCATTGTGGAGAGATCCTTTTCATCTAACACCTAGGCTTTCTCCACCCCACCACCCCACTCCCTGCTTATTTATCTTTTAATATCCTCTTCTTATTCACCTTTGCAAAACTGTCATGTCTAACAAGATTCTCACAGTACTTTAAACTCTTTAAGTTTACAATTAAAATTGCTAACAAAGTATGTAATAAGCCATGATATTAAATAATACTCAATGATTTAATTTAGTCATCTCAGTCTAATTACACTTAACCTGTTTGCTGTCCTTGAAAGAAAATCTTTCCTAGTTCATAAGAGAAGAATATAAAGGATGAGGAGCTGTGTGTTCTTAATATAATAAATTGCTACAGTGCAACTTCCTGAGTTTGATCTTACATGTGTCAGTAAATAAACTACTTTGCAGCATAAGCCCAACTGTCAGTCAAAAGAGCTAAAAATGTACAGATGCTAGTTTCTTTGTTGTCTTCTTTTATAATTGTCTTTAACAAGAATCTATGAATTTTGAAAATGTCGGGATCCACCAGGTTTTGTCATGGCACTGAAGCAGAGCCTCAGTGCAGGAGAGTGATGCAGTGCAGATGTGAATTCGGGCTTCTTCAATGTTCAGGGCTGGATTCTGAGCTGATGTTTTGTTTCTATAATGAGTCAAATCTGATTATGAATCAATATGGATTAAGATGTTTTACTGATGTCAGAAGATACCTTTCTAGATTTTATTTGCATGTAAAAATTAAATTCCAGTATGGAAAGAAAAAAAAAAATCCTTTTCTGATTCACAAACCTTTTAAAACTGTGTGTCTGTGAGCACAGAATGCAGAACTTGAAGGGAGTTATGCTTTTCAAGTCTAAGCCTTTATATTTAGTTTTGTGTCTAATGCGGAGGACCTCTAGAGAGTTTTAGCACATATCATTATTTTAAATTCTACAAATTATGCATATTTATCCTGCTAATAGAAAATTTACAGCAATTTCAAAAGAGCTATTTCTACAATGTTATAAAAGTTTATTAAAAGGTTCTTTGTGTTTTGGTAATCTTCCCAATAGCAAAATACAGTAGCTCTAAATCATGTGGTAGTATCTATAACATAGACTTTGTCTGAGAAAGGAATATTTAAAAAAATGTTTCTTACAAATTTTTTGTTATTTATAGAGATAGTAAGTGTAACTAGCAATGTGATTATAGCAAAAAGGTGTCACACACATAGACCTGTTTTCCATTCCAGTTCTTTGTCAGTCTGTCTTTAGAATTATGTTTTTTCCCCTTATATAATCTAAGAACACTACAGATAAACATGGGTGTTCTTAAGAACAGTAAGAGAAGAAAAGCAAGTGCTTTTGAGGAAAGTATTTTATCAACTCCTGTGATATGCTAATTGTTTCTTTTTTTAAGAAAAAAGAATGTTTTTCCTTCTTTGTACAAATTGAGGAAAATATCTTTGTTAAAAGCAGTAGAATATACAACTTATAACAAATATCAAAATAAAACTCTAAAGCTCTTTTTTTTTTCAGGGATGAGGGGTCTGAAATTTTGGCAGGGGAGAAACACAGAAACATCTTTTTAAACTAATGATGATATCACAAAAAGGACAAATTATAATGTTCTATTGATAATTGATGGTTATTTCTTGATTCTTCTATTATCAGGCCAGAACTCATAAAAGTAATAAGTGCCTGTTATTGTTAAAAGTAAATTGTTATTATGTAACAAGTATTTTAACACTGCCTATTGCAACTTACAGCTCCTTAATTTTGTCTCTTTCATAGAAAGATATAATTAGTAAATAAATTAGCTTTTCTACTGAAATATTACTTCAAAAACATTTACGAGCGGTGTTGTCTTTCCACGGAGGCTTGCCACGGTGAAAATGTGTTGCAATTAAAACCTGATCTTTGATCTTTTGGTAGTTACAGTTTGGTTTGCTTTCAACTGGTTTTAGGTCTTTTTTCTGTTGTTTGTTTGTTTATTTGTTTGTTTGTTTCAAATGAGTGATGCTAATGTGAATTTTTAGGCTGAAAATACTTGCACCCTAAAATATGATTTGCCATATGGCCTTTTTCTTCCGTACACTTCTCCCTGAGACTTTAACTCCTCCTTTTGTGACCTCTTTGAATGCTTCTCCTCCCTCTGAGTATTTTTGGAATCCTCTGAGGTGAAATAAACTGAGCCATTGCATTGATGTGATCTGTGTTGCCATCCTTAATCTGGGCTTTTTGCTTTTGTTTTTGCTTGTGCAAGTACTTCTGCTGGGACTGCTGACATGAGAATTTGAGCCACAATTTGGCCTTAATCTGCCAGTAATTTAGCAGAAGATATGTTAGGCTGAATTCTTGTACACCCCAGTGTTAATTTGTTACTGACATGGCATCGGTGTAAATGTTGTCTAGATTTGGAACATTGTTAGTTGTTTAGAAAGCATTGTGTAAATTGATCTCCTTACACAAATGGCAGCTTGCTAGGAACGTTTCTAACAAGCTAAGGTATATGGCTATTCCCAGTGTAAGCACTAAGAAAAAAGGTGCTCGGCGCCACCCATGGTGGTATGTGGCCTTATAATGAAGACTTTTTGCAAAGATTCATTTAAGGAGTAGAGTTGCATTTAAATGTTTTTGATATCTTGCCAAACTGTCCCTAAGAGTTTTCAAGGAGTTTAGCATAGAGGCTGTTGATGAGTCTGCCTACTAATGAAAGAAAATGCACATGGAAATGGAGATTCTATTATTACTAACTGGGCATGGAAAATAAGTGTTCAACTGTGTTTAAAGTTTTCTTGATTATTATTTATAAATCTTAGTTGTGGTTCTTAAAGTCTTAGAACTCTGGATCACAACTTCAGCCATAAGGATTCCCATGTTAAAAATCACCTTTTGTGAGTTATCTGGAAGGTTATGTATAATTTTGACTTCAGAGACAATTAGTTTAATTGAGGATATGAAAAAAATACCCTTTAGATTTTATTGAAATCTGTTATGCTCAGTATCTAATTTTCTAGTGGAATTGGGGTCTGACCATAGGAAATCCAGTAAGGCCAATCTTCTGCTTTCTCATAAGTGTAATGACTTCAGTGACAGTTTTGCCTACAGAAGGCCTCCCACATTCAGGAAAAGATTTTAAATATATTCTGAATTTCACATTATAAAAGCCCATCTTCTAATCATTGCATGTGGTTTATAGTGAACTGAGAAAATTTCTGATACTGTGAACATCCAATACGTAAAGTGCTCTTGTGAATTCCATGGAGACATTATAAGAATAACTATTGCATTGACATGGGTATAAAAATGGGTTTCAGATGTCACTCTGTGCCAAATTTCAAAAAAAAGCTTCTAAATCTTCATGTATAATTTTGAGTGTACAATCATTCTCAAATGAAAAAGACAGAATTTGTATATAAATTGGCAGTTAGCATGCATAAATCCCAAACGAAGTTTTTCTTTCAATTAGACTCTTGTTAAATCCATAGTAACTCCATTAACCTCAGTGGAATTACTTTGGATTTAAAATCCAGTTAAATAAGAACTCTGTTTGGCTACAAGTTCATTTCCCTCTGAAAACATGGTCCAACTAGAACAGGAAGAACAGTTTTAAAATGAAGGTAGCACCTGTTTTCCTGATGTGTGAGAATATATTTGATAATTCTTCTTTTTCTTATTCTTTTTTTTTAATAGATTCATCCTGCATGGAAAAGCTACTCTCTAAAGACTGGAAGGAGAAGATGGAAAAATTAAACACAAGTGATCTCCTTGGAGAAATTAAAGGTACCTCTCTAGATCAAATTTTAAATGTTTGCATATATTTTAAATAAGGGATTGAGGATTCTTTAAAGTTAGTTCAGAAAACATAGTAGAAATAGCAATCATAATTAGAGGGTGCATTCGTTTTTCCAGTCAACTTACCCTGTTTTTTAATGTTTCTCTTTGAGATGTTCGTTGTGATTGTCAAATAAATAAATTAGACTGTCACAGTCAGTTATAGGCAGTATCAAGGATGTTATCAGAAACACCATGTTAGTTATATTAGTGCATTGACATTAGCTATATCTCTGCAACCAGAGGAAGAAACATCTTGAAAACATGGAGTTACTTGTACTTGGTACTGTCTCCTCCCACTTGCATAAACTTTATCTAGAAACTGCTTTCAGATTATAGAAAGGTGTAATTGTGTGTTTACTGTTCTAAATCTTTGATTCAAAACTGGGGGGGGGGGAACCAAACCAAAAAAAAAGGAAGATTTTTTTATATTCATGCAATTCCTGTGGAGAAAGAGCATCTCTGTATGAAATTCGGGACCTACTGAAATCAGTGCAAGTTTTGTTGTATATATAGACAGTATTTTCCAGCATTTCCAAGATTTGTTAAAGCAGAGATCTAGTAAAAGTGGAATTCTCTTGACAATTAAGTACTATGTAGAAAATTTGAATTGTTTTTCCCCACCCATCAATTCTTCCATGGATTTTTTTTTTTAGTGAGAAGAAATTTAGAGTTATTAATTAAGGAACAAATTAAAAAGGTGGTATTTTGTGCTGTGAGAAGGGATCAAAAGGCATAATTTTATTAAATTGCAACTACAAATATGTGTAAACAAAGAATCAAGTGCATCATGTTAATAAATATTTACGAGTTAAAAATATATATATAGTATTTGATGAAAATTGATGCTTAGGTTTTTATATGTCCATGAGGGACACTTAAGAGTTAAATTTTGCTATTATACATACAGATGAAAAATTGGCTCTTTTTAACAAGTTATAATTGGTTCTGTCAGCTAATTCAGGCCCAAAATATGTTGGATTCTCCATCTGGATTTTTTGGGTAGTATTATGACAAGTGTATGTTTGCCAGGTAAGAAATCCTGTAGTAAGGTCAGTGGCAGAAATACAGTATGCAGTTTTACAAGAACATAAAATCCAACACAATTATTTTTAGAAATCACGTTCTATGTAAAGCCATATTGTCTCCTAATAGTGTGGAAATCATTGAATGCTAGTTTGTCCATTAATTGCACAATATAGCTACTTAGTCTTTAAATAGTAACTACTTGAATGCTGTTAGCGAATCAAAATTAAAAGAGGTGGGATCTCTAACAATGCAGAATAATGTTATTTATTCTTTAATATGGCATAAAAAGCTTTCATTTATTAAAAAAAAAGTTTGTTTTTTCTGGATTTATGTTATTCCTCCTATTTTCTTAGCATATATATTCACTGAAGAGCTAATGGGTAGAACTCTTGCTCCTCATTCTCATCTAGCTACAAAGTATTCTCACTCAGATTTGGAGGAGCTTGCACCTTATTTTATACTTCTTAGCTGTGTAAAAAGGATCATCTGGTCTGGTTCCCAGATTTATGTGTTGATGATCATTCATTTAGTTTCCACAACTTCCTCATCCCTAGAAACCTATCCTTAGGGGGTCTTCATGTCTGCAGTATTCCTCTCCACTACTAGTTGACTTACAGCAAGATGCAGTACTGAACCTTTGCTATTGCAACTGCATTTAACATTTGTCATGAACAGGCAAAAATGTAAAAAGGCATACACAAAAAATATAAGATAAAATATAGTTGCTGTTATGTTGTGTTTTACATGGGCTTTCCACAGCAGAAGTAGTGGCAGGGCTGGAGAAGGCACACCTTCCTCTTTTC